GTCAGTCATTTGTGGGTTTCTTGTGCTCCTGGAAATGTTAATATTGAAGTTATAACAGCAGCTTCAGGCCTCAAAGTTTGTGCTGCTCAGGCATCCAGGTCTGTCAGAAAGTGCTGCTAGGAGCAAATAGAAGGGAGGATGAATATGCACTGATCAAAAATGAGTCTTTTACTGTTAGATTCCCAAAAGAGTACTAGACATCTCTCTGCAAAGTATAACTGGTTATCACCCAAAGGCCCCTAAGTCTTGTGGTGCTACAAGGAACACCAGCAGCTTTGTAACTCATCTGTCATGATACTTCTCAACCAGGTTTAACATCCTCAGGTCACAATGCCACACAGCTTCTATTTCAGTTAGTCTCAGCTAATGAGGTGTGTCTTCCCTGAAACACTAGCATGAGCCTCAGGGATAGCTTGAGTTAGTCATGTAGTAATGGTCTAGAAAAATCTTCAGGAGTACCCCTCCTTCCTACAGCTGTGAAGTGCAGATGTAAACATCTCTAACATTTATGCATATCTGATCAAGCAGTTAAGCCCTAGCTAAGCTCCTTGGGATGCAGTGTCCCTCTCCCTGGTTGCCCTACAGAGGGGAGGTACTGTGCTTTGAGAAGTTATTTATCTCTGGAAGAAGCTGCATGCCTGGCCTTATTGATGGGCTCAGGTTTGTACAATGGTCAGAACTGGAAACTCCTGGAGGATCTTGGGGTTGACTCAGTTGTAAGCCTCACCTTGTGGTATCCCACCATAGCAGGCAGAGGCTTGTAAACGTTTTAAATGATTATAAATACCCTCACTAATGAGGTAGGCTTGTGTACTTAGTCTAAAATTATCATTTATGTCCTAAGGAAAAAGGTTAGAACAAACAGAAGAACTGATGCAGGCAGAGCTAGGAGAAGCAGGTTGAGACTTTGTGGAGGTGGTTTCCTTTTGGAATAGCTGGGACACGATGTTCAGAGTTGGTGAAGGGGGTTTTTTGAAATGTTTTCTTTATCCACTTCCATAAATCACAGCTTTTAGTGAACACAACCTGAGGTGACCCTACAATAAGCCTCTCCTATAAGACTCCGCATTTAAGTCACACTTGCTAATTCCAGGACTGGAACTGTGATCTTGCAGAAATACGCTTTTGGCAAGCCTGGCTTTTAGCTCAGTTCATGGAGGTGCTTAAGCAAGCATGTTTCCAGCTCACACATGCTTATGATACTTTCATGCCTTTTGAGAAAGCTCTGTAAGCATCTGTCTGGTAGCACAAACCACATCTTAAAAGCTCAGCCTTGAATGCTGTGCTGACAAGCATGGCAAAATGAAAAGCATTAACTGTATGCTGTAGACAAAGAGGGACAAGTAAACATAAAATAGAGTCAGTAGCAGGCCAACCTCTACGAGTGTACCTTTTGTTTATAGAGAAACCAAACAGAATTACAGTATTTCAGTTATTTTCTTGTTTGTGTCTGTGGCAGCCACAAGAAGCACTGGTTGTAGACCAAGACCCAAGTGTGCTAGGTGTGATATGAATGCGGAAATCCAGAGACCATACAGCTTGAAAAACAAAGTGTTCTAAAATGGGGAAGAAAAAAAAAATCTCTTGAAGTTGGCAACATTTATGAAAGGAAATTTATTCTGGATCATCTTGGACTCCTGATCACCTTTTCCTAATTTTCCTACAACTCTGCGTAGTGCCTAGTGCAACAGAGCTATCATTCTTCCCTGTGCTTCCGAGGTGCCTCTGCAGTATAAGCAAGCACAAATGAGCCAAATTTGTATTTGGAACCAGATCTGGGCCTTTCCTTCAGCTTGGAGACACCCGAGTCTGCCAAGTCAGGGCTTGAGGCGTAGGTGTCTTAGAAAACAGAGTCAGGTATCATGGTGATACTGAGGCTTTACTGTGCTCAGGCACAGAGGAATGGAGCAGATCAGTTAGATACTCCGTGTAGTCCAACATCCTGCCCCCAATAGAAACATCTGTTCTATATTGCTGCATGGGATTAAGAAACAATAACAATAAAAACCAAAAACCCACTCAACCTTTCTAATACCAGTGCCCAGTCAGAGTAAATGACCAAATTCCTCATCAGTGAATTAGAAATTTCCACTTTCCTCTTGCCTGTTTTGACTGTCTGTTTATTGCTTTTGTGTTGCTAATGTGCTTTCCTTTTAAAAAGAGCTTCTGACCTAGTGATTCTCAATTATTTATTTGTGTCTTTCTGTCTTCCCTTGCTTGATATTTCTGCTCCTGTCAGGAAATTTTGCAAGCTGTTGCATCATCCCTTTTTCCTGTTAATTGTCTTTGCTGCCTACCCTGGTGAGGCTGTGCTTGCAATAGCTGGATAATGCAAGCAGCGTGTCAGCGTATTGCAGGACTAGCTCTGCTTCCGGCTCCCTCGACTCAGTTCCTGTCAACTTTATTGACTTTAATACCCACAGCACACTTCAGTAGAGGAGTGCAAAAGGTTTTATAGACATTAATTACACTCACCACAGAAATACTCACCATGCAGAGTATGTTTCTAGACAGCTGTGAACAGATCTGAAACCAGTTCTGCTCAGCCCAAGCTAAACAGCACACCAAAGGTGCTACTGTGCTCAGTTCAATCTTCCTCTTTGTGATCTGTTTTTAACTAGGCCAGACTATTGGCAGCATGGTAACAAGTCTACAAACCACTTCCACCCATCTTAATAACATTCTGGAGGTGCAGTTTATTCCCTTCACTCCTGACTGTGCACTCAATGGTAATGGCCCTGGCAAATTTTCTGCATGTTGTTCCAAGTTTGTAGAATAATTATTTCCTTCATCAGGCAGAACTGTTAAGTACATACTTTAAAATCACAGCTGGTTGCTATTCTTCACTCATATCTGCATTCAAGTTGAGATGGGACATTCTGGGGAGTAACAGACCTCACCAGTTTTTCCTTCAACTAGACAATATATGAGAAGCCTTGTCTTAATGATACATATATTTAGAACAAACAAAAAGAGGGAAATACTTGCTTCAGTTTCCAAGTGAGTCATTAAGTAGCATGGCGACACATATACTTTCTATTTCCTTGCAAGCTGGGTTTTAATTCCTGAGGAAGTTCTGTCCTGTTGGCTTTGTTCTGTAGTACTCCTTGGAAAGTGGAAAGTTGATTTATGGTGTTTGGAAACAGTGTTAGGGAAAATCTTCCTGGAAAGTAGGCCTGGGTGTCTGGGCTGAGCTGTCTAGAAGAGGATTGCTTGCTTGCTATTGGCGGTTGTCTCTCTTCTTTTGTATATGTGCAAATAAAATAAGTTACATTGAAAATAGTCTGAAATACCACAGTACTTCTTTCATTGAATGTGACATACAAGCGTTGCCACTGGACAGTGGTGTAGCAATATAGACACAGAGCAGCAGGGATATTTATAGTCTTTTCAGGCTAAGGCCTGCTGGCCTGTACTAAGAGTTCTTTCTGCCTTGTCACAGACTTTTTCACCCAAGAAAATAAGGACATGATCAGAAAATACATCTGACAGTGAGACCAGATTGTTGAAATAGAAAAGCGCCTTTGCAATTCCAAGGCATTCTGGGCTCTTAGAATGCTAATAGCATGCCTGGAAATAAAGAATTGATTTCATTACACTTATTTTATATAGTAGCTAAGCTGGTGGAAGCCAAGAAGGCATTTAGCATCATCCATGCAAAAAGTAAAAAGATGCATTACTTGATCAAATGGGGTTGGATGGAATCTCCTTCCCATTTTTGACAGATAAGCAGGAGTTGCACATCTTCCTTCCCTACTAACTTCAATCTATGATTTGCCATGTGAGAAGTTCATCCCAATGAAAGGAAGTGAGTTACCAACAGGTGCAAGGCCGTATGTCATGGTCACTAGATGATTTTAACTGCACTGGACATTTATTGATTGGGCTGTGATGATTCAGCAGCTGGCCTTGTCCAGACTGACCTCGTCATCTTGTCCATATAAACAATATAATAGAGAAAAACCAAACATACTTGCTTTAACAGATTTGTGCAAACATGGCATCGTCAAAAGGATGCCTTCCTTGCATAGCACCCTTGCCAGCTTGTTTGGTGGGATGAGTTAAGTTTGATAGCTCTGGACGGCTTTTGCCACTAGCCTATAGGCAGTAAATTAATGAAAAACAGTTCTCATCAGTCCTCTGTTTTCCAGTTTCACCTCTCCTCCCCTGTGTTCTTCACCACTTCACTGTAGGACCAGTGCTGGAGCTGCTGCAAGGGTCTGCTCATTCTAGGGAGGCACTACGGGGATGAGAGGAGCGTGGAAACTGTTCTTCCATTTCTTGGAGTGAGGGAGGGGAGAACAGTGCTTCTGCCCAGATGTGAGGCTTCCTCTTGCTCTGCCTCCCATCCATCATCATGAGGATGAAATCAGCCCCTCAGGAAGTGCCAGCTGCTTCCCCAGGGCTTGGCACCCAGTTACAGGAGTTACTTCTCATCCCTAAGCAAAAGCTTCTGTGCTCTGAGAGGATATGCAGACCTTCTCATTACCTGTCACCCACCCAGGAACTGGGGTAGTTGGCAATTCTGTAGCACGGTTAATTTGTAAAAAGCCACTGGTCCTGTGAGGAAAAGAATTTGGTTCTCCTGACTGCAAGTTGCAAAATCCCTACCTGCTACATCATATGAATTATGTAATACTTGATCTGACAAAGAAGGGGCTTTCCAAAACAGTACTCTGGAAGAGCGAGGGAGTGAAGAGCTATGTTCAGTGTACAGTTTTACAGCCTGTGGCAACCATAGATGTATGTCGCAGTCAGAACTCCATTTCCACATTCTGCACTGTGCAGGAGCTGGGGAACACTGACATCACGTACGCTTTTGACCTTTGCCCATGTAAAAGGTTTGAAGATCTCGCTCTAGCTCCCCACAGTAAGTTTCACCAAGATTAGTGTACTGTGATCCTGAAAAGGAAAACTATACAGAGTCCTGCAGTAGCAGATTCCCACTAGAACTCTTGCATGCAGATAGTGTGGATAAATCAGTCACCAGATGTGATATCAGGAAACTTTTATACAAGTTTTTAATAAAAAAAATTCAACAAAAATATATATATAATCAGGCATTTTATGCAATGCATACATTCTTTATATCTGCAGGTACAGATAAATAACAGAAGGCAAAACCAAGTATTTTGCTTATCTTTGGCCATTAACCAATAATCACCCCTGAAGAGATATTATAGGGTTAAAGAATAATAAACTGAGTCTGTAAATTTCTCTCATTACAGACAAAGTATCAGGCAATAATACAGTAGTTAGATTTTTAGAAATGTAAGGAAATATTTCTTTAACACTGCCCAATACTGAAATTTAACCTGGTTTGCTGCTATAGAACTTAAGGCCTTCTTTAGCTGACATACAGGCAACATTCCTGGGTTTACATTAGATATACTCCAACCCTTACCTTAACCTACTTCCCTTCACCATACATTGCTCTAAAAAGCCAAGCTGTACCTCTTCATGAAATAAACTAGCAGAATTCTTATCTGTGGATCAGTTTCCTGAACCCCAACTGATGTACATACATACAGAGCAGTTAAGCTTCCTTAAGTCAATATTTTTTCCTAACTCAATGTCCCAGAATAATAGCTATCCTTCCACTTTACAGCACAGATGCATCTGATGGCTCTACCAAAGCAATATATACATGATGCCCATTAAAAATCATAAAAGCAATTTTTAAAGGTACATTGATAACATGTAGCAGCTTATGTCTAGATATGTACATGTTTTCACAGTTATATTTTAGAAAATTGAGAACACCAGGAATACTTCTACTGTGTTTTCTATAAATATTAAAAATTTACCTGTCAGGCATTTTGACAAAATAGTATTTAGGTTATCACTTTAAATAGCTCTTGAAAACCTGTAGTCTCTTAAGCTTAAAGGCTGTAGAGTTTGAGGATTCTTTAAAGTGTTTAGCCAGTTTCAGCAGCTGGGCCACCTGCCAGTTTGATTTTTTTTTTTTTAAATTCAAATCTGGTAACAAAGGAACTCCACCACTTTTGATGGGATAGGCAAGTTCTTGACTTGGCTGGTGGGCATCACTCTTCGAATTGCCATACGACATAGATGTTGGAGACTGGAAACTTGTCTTGGAGTTGCCCAGAAGTACACACTGCCATCCTGTGTCCTGCACAAAAAAAAAAAGAAAACAACCCACCAGAATTATCCCACCTGAATGATTTCAGCTTAGTACAAATTCTCACATACGTTGCTAGTTAGGAGGAATGTGCTCTGGACTTCTTGTTGCATAGTTCTAGCTGTTCCAGCCTCATTTACACTAGATGCCAGTTGTTCTTTCAAGCTATAGCAGCAGAGTAAGCAAATTGCTGATTATCTATGTGACAGGCCTGAACAGATCTTCCAACAGCTACTGAGTATACCACCTGAAACAGAATAACTGCCCTTGATTATCTACTGGTCTTTTTCCAGTCCACATGTTTGTGGGTCTGTCTTTTATTTATTCTCAAAGATAAGAAATGAGTTTATCAGCTTCTTGATTTTACTGCTATTCCAGGCACGTTTAAACAAATAGTATCAGAAGTAAAACCAAGTCAGAAGCATCAAGTTGCAAGTCCCAACTGAAGATTTTTAGAACACTTAACTGCTGTTTTCAACCTTTTGTGTTACCGTAACATTTTAGGAAGAAAAAAAAAAAGTATATACTTGCCCTGCAGCTAGAACACTGCCATCAGTAGAAAAAGTACAGCAGAGCCCATTGTTCAGAGGTGCAACTTGTACAGGGTATTCTTCATCAATTCTCCAGAATCTTACCATTCTGAAAAAGGAAGAACGAAGCAGTAAGTTATCAGAGTAGACATTTAATTCTGCCTGATATTTTCTCTGATGCTGCACAAGAAACTAGCCTGAAGCAGAGCTCAGGGCATTTTTATAAACACTTTAATACACGTACAAGGTGTTTCAGATTTGGCCTGAAATGCTATGACTTCTTCATTTCTGATATATACCTTGATCTGTACTTCTTCAACCATTTTAACTCTGCCAATTAAAATAAAAGATTGCCTTCAACAGCAGAAAGCAATAACCTGAACTACAGATTTAGACAATCTCTCTCAAGTGTCATATATGCTAGGAAATCCCTAAATTCATTTTTTTAATTAAAAAAACCAAAACCCTCCTGTAGATTAATACCCTTGCTGTCATCTTGAGAAATCATTCTTCATATTCTTAAAATACAGTTCTTCAGAATATTATTTGCAGTGTTAGCAGAAGTTGAATAAGAGATCACAAAATACTCTTCTTTTTACTTTGGAATCTACTACTATACAAAAGACTTACCTGCATTATCAACTCCATTTACATTTTCCACTGTTTACAACCCCTCTTTTTCTGTTTTCAGCTGTTACACACTTAAGTTATTCAGGTCATCTACTCTGTACACAACTAATTATTTCTACATTCAGAAAGAATATTAATGTATACCAGACAACTCATCTACTTTTACCAAAACCATTAGAAGTAATTTCTCAGTTGAAAAAAAAGCTGACTTAGTATTTAAAAGTTCATGTCATACGGGAAGAATTAGAGGAGTCTAACAAATCTTTCCTCATACTTACTTATCATCAGCAAGGCTTGCAATATGTAGTCCATCGTGACTAAAAGATACGGATCTGACCCATCGGTCATTTGCACCTCCAGCAAATATTGGAGTAGGAGGCGGGAACAGATGCCTGGAGATAGAGAAACACTTAGCTAACAGCATAATATTTAAGAACTGTGGAAGTGTTTCCTGCAGCCATGACTAGCAAAGCTGAGGAGGAAAAAAAGGATTGAAGGATCAAACATTTAACTATGAAATCAGTAGTGGCGATTGAACTACTGTGTCTTTTGTAGTACTGAACAGCTTTGTTGAAGATGCTTAAATTAGTACACATTAAAATATCAGTGCTTTAAATTCTTTCTCAGATAGATAGTGCTCTGCCACTTTAGGATTACCATCAGCCACTGCTAAGATTTTTCCCAAGTCTAATTATTAGTTAAATGCATAAACCCATTAATTTTCAGTAGTCATCTTTACTCTAGGAGGAAGTTTCCAGATTTGACTACTTTACTTACCCAAATTCCATAAGAATAACTCCAATATGTGGATCCCAGACATAGACTCGAGTATCATAAGATGCAGTAGCCAGTAAAGCTCCATCAGGAGAAAACTCACAAGCTACAACATCATTGTGATGTCCTTCAAGTTTCCGTATCATGGAGTATTTATCCATATCCCAGAGAAAAACCTGCAATTAAATAAGCTAATGTTATAGCTCTGCTCAGAAATGCAATGAAGCATTTACTTTTTTTTTTTTTTTAAAGTATAGCTGCTAGTCTTATTTAGGATTATATTAAAATCAGGCATTATGAATTACTACAATTAAGAAATATGCTCAGTGTCATACTCAGATTAAAATAAAGTTTTTTAAAAATAATTAAAGCAGACATGCAAGTTCTAACTCAAGTTTGTTAAATGTTATTAACAAAATAAGCCAAAATATAAGATAAAGGCAACACAATTTAACCATGTAGCTTACTGAAATTCATGTATTACAAAACTATTTTATTAAAATATGCAGAAATAAATAGGGTTAAACTCTACAGTCCCCTCTTTTCAGTAACTACCAAAATTTTAAGAAATATACAGACAGAAAATGTAAGGTTAACATATTGTTACTCCAGTGGCATCCCTTTGAGTTTAAGATCACTTGTTTACAATTGGCTTGGATCACCAACGTCAGCCTAGGAAGAGAAACAGATACTGCAAGCAAAAAGAATTTTCACAGCCAAAAGTTATGTCTTTGGCAAAACAACAGGGAAGTCTAACCACATTATTAGAAAGAATTTATGCATTTTAAATCAAGTCAACAGTAAAAAAAGACATGAATATTACAATTTACCCGGCTAATTGCATATTGTGTTATAAAAATTGATAAAAGATGATATATTCTGGGATTTTACATGCAGTTGTACATTACATATAATCAAAATAAAGACTGTGCAGAATTACTTAATAGGAACGATCTATGTACTGCAGCATAATTTTATAGAAAATATAAGTCTTTAGCATAAGATGTTATGTCCCTAAAAGAGCTCATTAGGGTCCTTGATTTTTCCCCTGACTCAGTTTTACTGCACAGATTAAATACTGACATCTTGGATAAATTTATATGTTTGACCAAAGCAAACATAGCCTTAGTGCCTCACATACTTCCTAAAACTGAACCATTTCACAATCAGTTATAAGCGTGTTGACCAATTTCTCCGAGAAAATATTGGAATATTCCATAAAACTGGAAACTAAGTTTTAGGAGTCAGTGTGTTTCACTGCTGTGAAAATTATTAAAAAAAAAAAAAAAAGAAAGAAAGAAAGCAGAAAGTGGACATCAACCAGCACCTGCGTACGTACAGTACACCTTGCAGTCGAATGCAAGGTTACTTCGTCCTACGGTAAAGTTCGCCCCCAGCCTGGTAGCCAGAGATGCCACTCTGTCTGCCCAGCTAACACCATTGTGCTCCTGTGTGAGTGGTGCCAGCTTAACCTCAATCACACCAATATTGCTGCCACCACCTGTGACAGGGAAAGCAAGAAGCTTATGGAAAACACACAGCCTAAAGATATCAATGTATACATCCACATCTGCTCTATTTAAAGAAAAAACAAAACCCAGACCTCAACTATTCTCTGTCAAAGCTGCACTGATAATTTAAAGTATGAAATGCATTTGAACAGTCATCCATGTAAAGTGGTATCCAATGATTGAATTGTGCTTTTTACTCAGCATCACTAGGGTTCATTAAACTACCTGCAAAGCCCCTGTAACTAGACTGAATTCCCCTTTCTGTTTTATCCTAATTCTTCAGTGCCAAGAAAAGCAGCTTATGGCATACGTGCTTTACCTGCACTGCTTTCAGTTCTCTAGCAGGGCATTAGAATATGGATGAAAACAAAACCAGTATGCTGTTCTTCATTCTAGATCTTTTAGACACGAGTGCCATTTGTATTGGAAAACATGTAGAAACATTTTTGTTCAGCGGGAGATACCATGACTGGCTCAGACTTTGAAAAGTCCTTTTCATTGAGCAGGAAATAGAAAGGATAAAAATCAATAACAAAATAGTTTTATGCATTAATCTAAGTATCTTTTAACACTGGAAGCTTTAGTCTTCTTTGGTTTTACACTATGAACATGAGCAGATGTGTAGAACTATTTCTCAAAGAATGCTTACAGTTTCTTCAACTAAAAGCAGTGCAAGTTCAATTCATAAATCAGTGTCTCAATGCACCATTTGCTAGTTTAATTTCATGCACTTTTACATCATCATAAAACATTAGAAGTTCATGACACCGAGCACAAGCTTAATATTACTTAGATTTAAAATGATTATGCACACAATTCAGTAGATTTAATGAACAAGAAACTCTGACACATACTGCTTTACTAGCTCCAACAGAACAGAGAATAGAAGAGTCTGGAGAGAATGCACAACCATATACCCAGTTCTGATGTCCTCTCAACACTTTCATCATATTTCCTAAAAAGAAAGACATTCCTGTAAGAATTGATTAAATATTACAAACTCAAATTGAAAAGCTTTTCCAAATTAGTTCTTCCTTTATAAAATTCTATACTATTTTCCAAACAACATCTTGCAGAGTCATTCTACACAGAAATAAAAATTCTGTCGTGCAGCCTCTAAATCCTATGTCCCTATTCAAAAAGGTCACTTCATCCACTCTTTTAACTTAACCCAATACCAGCTTATACCTTTAGGGTACATATAGATAAAGAATTTCAAGAGAGTATACAGAGTGAGTGACTAATAGAACAAAATTAATTTTTTTAAGAAATCCTGACCTAACTGAGTTTATAGCAATAAAAGAGGAGAGTACATGGATATTTCTCCTATGTATTACAGCAGATAAACTTAAAATGCATACCATCATCTTTCAGGTCCCACACTCTCAGTGTTTTGTCTCTGGACGCAGACACTAAAATCAGGCTGCCATCTGGGGCAAAGGTTAAATCTCTAACAACTTCTGTATGGTCCATCAGGTTAAGGAGGAGTTTTCCTGTTACACGAAAACACCACAATTTAAAATGAAGGACTGTGCTTTTATTCAGATCAAATGCTTTATGGATACAAATATAGAATACAAAATCACAGCACGTAAAGCCAAATTTTCTTTGTAGAAATGCTCCCTACAGTAAGAAGCAGGTGTATCCTTTTAGATTCTTCTGTATCAAGAGGCAATTTCCTAAAAAGCTAGTAAATGTATACACTAAAACCGTATGCCTCAGAAATAAGGCAAGACTTGCCTTTTGATAGACACCTCTGTTCTAAGCTTAAATTTACAAGATAATGACAAATTACTCAATAGTCACTAGCTTCATTTTTTTAAAGCTGAGAAGCTCTCTCCCAACCTAGCAGCTATGCTACCAGCTAAACTGAGATTCCGTAATTTCAGATTCAGTCTCTTATCACTTGAACAATTATTTACTTTAAAAAAAAATAAAAAGCCCTCATCAACATAATCCTTCCCCATACTCAAGAACAGAGAGCAACTTCATGTTTTGAAAGTTTCCTTTGTTTGGAAGTATATTAAAACCACAATCCAGCAGAAGATTTTAGAGTAAACAACCAATATACACAAAGTCAATCACATACTTAACCATTTTGCAGCAACAAGGCTTTGTCTTCCATCGCTTACATCTCAAAGCATGACCTGAGTCTGTTCCTTCCTCTAGCAGTATTTGAACATTTCTAGTTACAGGAGTTCATGCTTTTTTTAGATTACTTAGTTTGTATTCAAGGTTCAGTTCCCAATTAAAATTCTGTAAGCAATTCATTCTGTGTATTAATGATGTTACTAAAGGGACAATGAAGTGACAACTTCCTCTCACATACTCTACCTGTATATGCATCCCATATCTTGATGCGCCCATTGTTCAAGCCTGTTGCAAGTAGAAGCTGGTCTTGCCCAAATTTGAAACGGTGCCATTCTATATTGACACAGCGGCTCTGCTTCTCAGGCACTGAAGACCCAAAAGCAAGGCTCCAGACGATGTCACCACAGTCTATTATATGTTCACAAGGCTTATTTTTCTGACCGCTGTCACTATTCTGCCTTGGAAGTCTTGTACCGATAGAATTTGCAACATTCTTTGTGCCATGCAACAAGCTGCAAAACAAACAAAAAATAATAAAAAAAATAAAATCATAAAGTACTTGAAAAATAAATAGAACAAAAAGGTCTTTAAGATGTAATGAAATCTGTGAGTTGCCATAACGTACATTTTGGAGGCCCATAATGATGCATTTTTACTTTCAAATCATAAAATCAGCTTTTTCTTGTAACTGTCAAAAATTATTAACACCTGGAAACCTTCTTACACGATATAATACTAATACATTTGTACACGTTTTTACCTCTGTAGAAAGCAATATATTAACTTAACCCACTGTGAAAAACAACATTTTTAAAGCATTGTAAGCATTTACAGAAAAATGAGTTACAAAAATTTCTAAGACTTTCTGCTAAATGAGCAAGAAGTTCCCTGCAATTCACTTATGTGCGTTAAATACTGGGAAGAGATACCGAGGCCAGCATATGAAAATCAATTAACCCACCACCAAAAAGAGGAAGGAAAAAAAAAAAAAGGGGGGGAAGCAGGATTTGCTGGGAGGGGAAATGTAACCAGCTACAAAAATGCAACTGCTGGTTACTGACTTCATTAAAATGCAACCTGACAGTGAAAATGTGTCTTTGAGAACTTAACTTGCATTCTAATAAGAATGATAAGGGAAGAGGTTCGCCTTTAAGTACATTTCTAAAAGGTAAAACCAAATAGCTATCCGATAGGAAATGTAAAAGTCCAGATCTGCCCGAGTCTTTAAATTTCCTTTTCATTCTAAATTCCTCTTATTTTACAGCATCTGAATCAATTAATAAATCACTCCTCCATAGCTTTTGTGAGGTTGCAATACCGTTGTTTCTCTCACTGGCCACAGAGGGAGAGATAAAACAATAGCTGTTACTTTAAAGAATTAGTTTTTCCCGGAGACGTCAAAGCCTAAAAAGCCAATACATGTGTCTTAATCTATTAAAAGCTATCTCCTATTTTGAAATTCTTAAGTTTTTCAGATTAATTAAAAGCCATATGGTTTTGTCTTACAAGTTATTAAGGCACTGAGACCAGGGGACCAGCTTCACTATGCGATGCCCTTGTGACCAAGCAAAGTAAGATCCATCGGGAGCAAATGCAACAGTCCAGTTTTCACGTCCACACTTCTTGTCAAAAGGAGAAGTTGGGGCTAAGAGTTCTCCTACAGTGCGTGGTCGTGCTACAAAGAAAACAAAGAGGAAATTCAATTTTTTTAAAAAAGCCAGCATATTTTAAAAGGTTACAAGGGTACCAGGCAGTATGTTAATTGTTTTGCTTTTATTTCATGACATTTAAAGTAATTGGGGAAGGGGTCTTACTGTCACTGTAAAACCAATCAAAAGACTAAGCCTCAGCTGCAAAAGAGATTGAATCACTAAAAAGAAACAGCTTAGTGTTAAAATGTCCTGGTTGTCACATAAGTAATATCACATCTCGATATCAGAAGCAGAACTCAAATAAATTAAAGATTTACTGAAACTAGCTATTACTTCAATTACTCTAACTATAGCTCTAGAGATAGCAGTAGAACTACGCTCCAATTTGACCTAATACTTCAGAGTTTAGCAAATAAGATGCCCAGTAATGATTTTTTTTTTTACCTTTAAAGAAAAATGTGAGTACCTGCCCTCCCTCAGAGAAAATAAGTTAATCAACAATCATAGGAAACAAGTTAGCACGGTGCGATCAGATTAGCTGATTTTCCCCCCGCTTTACAATGTAACCGGATGAACCACACTTTGTTTCTGCAGCCCAGGCTGCGGGCCAAAGGGACCTTACCCATGCCGTTCACCACCCTTAGTTTTACAACGTGGAGGTAGGTGACAGGAGTAAGCCCGCAGCAGGCGGTCGCCCAGGCGTCAGGCGAGAGTG